TTTCTCCTAATATATCTCTTAAAACTTCTAAGAAAACATATCGTACTAAGCATGAAAATTTAACATTTGTTCATCCAGCCTCTGTGAATTATAAAGGAAGAGCTGCTAAAATGGTTATTGTCAATAATATTAGAAATAATTGTACCAGTGATAGTTATAACCACAACAATTTTGAAGCAGATGAAGGTTTAACTGTACTTTCAGGAACACTTTTTGTATATTCCAACAAGATAAAAACTAATGGGCAAGTTTATTTACATGATACAACATGTATTGACCCATTTTCGGTAATAATTTTTGGTGGTGAAGTTAATATTAAGGGAATTCAGAATAATTTAATTTTAACAATTGACGATTGGTTGCATTTTAATGATGATGAGAAGACAATAAATTTGATTATTAATTTGAAATATTTATTAGAACAATCTTTGACCAAATTATATGAACAATTAGGGGTTGAAGAAGATTATAATAACAATAGAAGCTATAATTATGGGATAGTTGATAGATTAAACACAGATGATGAGATGTGTAAATTAAAACTTGTTATTAAAGGGGTTGTCGAATTACTAGAATTACTAGATAAATTTCAAGATTTGTCATTACACAGAAATTAGTTAATTATAGATTTTTTAATTTATTATTATATTATTAATTTATCATAATTTCTCCCTGATTATATATATTAAAGTTCCGAACGAGCCGAGTTCGAGCTGACTCGAAATCACGATTTTGCAGACCACTGAAAATTATAGAAGTAAACAATAATAAATTAAATCATCGTCCAAATAATTTTGATTTTTTAAATTTCAAGATTTCCAAATGCTGAAATTTTAGAAAATTTTCCTCGTTTCAACGAATCTGAACACATAAATAATAAGAAAATTGCATTTAAGGGTAGAGTGTAGGTAACACAAATTTCACTATGATTCTCACGACCGAATTTGGTAATGATTTTCTTTTAATGTAATATGTTCGTTAAACTTTTTTGTTGTAAAGAAACTTTTATTTATTTATTAATAAAAAAAGGAAATAAACAAATCAAATAAATCAAATGTATGTTGTAGAAAATATTCTAGGAAAAAAAAGTTGTTACACGAAATTAGTCTCAATTTCTTAAATGTATAACAAAATTCGGAATTTTCAAAATGCTAAGGCTCTGCCAATTTTCAGTTTAAGAAAAAACCAGCTGATAAGTTTTGAAGCTTGAGTCATGAACAATAAAACTTATCGGTTAATTTTTTAAAATGATATAATTTTTTTTTGTTTTAGTATTTTGAAGTTGACCAATTGTTACTATAAGCAAATTAATGATTATAGATGATCTGCACCGTAGAAAAATTATCCTAATCCGCTCACTGTGTATACAATGTCGATCATTGCGAATTTTCTCTTGGTGATCAGTACCGTGGGATTCGTTGAAACGAACACATATTGTACCAGTACTGTATGTGAACGAAGCACAACCCTATACTAGCACATCAATTTTGACTCCTAACTTGGCAATTTACCGATCATTTTGTAACGTTTGAAACGTGATTAATAATTTTGAACCGAATTTTAAATGCGATTCACATATGCGTCCCATAAATTCGTTGAAATGAGGTTTGATTGTATATATATAGATCACTTAAAATTTTAACAAAGTCGTCGAATCTTTCATTAAATACAAAACACGTCTTTTCAAAAAATTCCCTTATTTGGGGCGCAAACAACCAAAAAAGCCGAATTTTGATTTCTGGTCGTTTTTTTGAGATAATGGCATAATAATAATTACATGTATTATAGGCGCCGAAAGCATTCGAGCTTAGAAACATACCCACCATACTTGCATGGGATACTTCATATGACAGGCACATTAGAAAGATCTGCAATTCCTTTTTCTAAAAACGTTTTATAAAAAAATTCGGCCTTTTTGCTGTCCACACCCCATTTGTTTATCTTATCGGTTATATTGCAAATTTTTTTGATCAAGATTAAGATTATATTTAAAAAGTTATATTGTTGTTAAAGCAGGTTTAGTTAATTGATGATATCAATTGTTGTATTTAAAGTTTTAAAAAAATTCCTAATTAAATCATTATCAGTAAAGAAGACATCTTATTTGTGTAATTGAATGCATATTCTCCATTAATTAAAAATCTTAAGATCCGTATTGCGAAAACATTGACCTTTTTTTATATATCTTCTCCACATTTTTGTTTGTTTGCAAGTGATTTTCAAAATTCCGAGCAACTTAATTAAAATTTGGTCAAGAATTAAGGAATTAAGTTGATTATGTATGTTAAAGGTTAGTAGTAAATAATGATAATTAACGACGTGTTTTTTACCGTTTTAGTTAAAGTTAAAAAACAATTTCAATTGTAATACAATTAATTAATAATTGAACATTGATTAACAACAACAAAAAGCCTTCTGGTTATTATATCTAAAGAAAAAATTTTTAATAAAGAAAAAAGGTAAATCAATGACTTGAGTGTAACTTAATTTTATCATCAAAGACTCTTTTCGGAATCAAATTAATATATAAATACGAATGTACATACGACAATCAATAAGATCTTTACAAAAAAAAATTTATTTTAACCTCATATGCAATTAGATTTGTGATGCTTTGTATGATAAGAAAAATAAAGATAAGAAAATGAATTTGTTCCAAAAAAGTTTTATTTTCTTTGATAATGATAACGATAATATCAATATTTTATGATATTGTTGTTCGAAATAAATAAACCTGATTTAATTTTATTAATAAATAGAATAAATAAATATTCATATTTAAAAGAGTTCTTTTTAACTAGCATTGATTCAAAAAAAAAAAAAATAAAAAAACAAAAAAGCAAAAATCTAAGACATGACAGTTACCTAATTGGTTAATGATCTACAAAAAAACTACAACGAAAAATTTCAAAAAAAAACTTATTAATCTTAAATTAATGTTAAGATTATTTTTTATAATAAAACACATTTATAATTTCCATATTAAAAGAAAATTTTTGCTCTTAAAAAAAGGAAAATTTTTGGGAAGCTATTAAGACCAACAGAAATTTGAAAAAAAAATTATTTTTCAAAATTATTAAAATTTAGATTTTAGGGTTTTTATTTAAATTTAAATTGATATTTTAATGTTTCATGTTAAATGAATCTTTTTTATGCTTATATTCAAATCTTTATTTAGTCATGTTTTATGTTTAAATTATTGTATATTATTATACGTATGAGTTAGTAACAATTTATAAATTTATAATAATGATAATGAAAGCGTTTATAATGCGTTGATATGTATTTTGATGACACCAATTAAACGAACGATTGGATAGATTTGAATTTATCTTAATTTTCTATGAAATAAAAGTGGATTATTTCTTCTCATTATATAGAATAATTTTTAATAAGGAATAAATCTATTGTATTTGTTTTACACGATGATGTATCTCATAAAAGTGAACACAACGATTTTGGTCGTACAATGTGTTAATTATCAATAATTTTGAATTCGCGAAGGGATCGTTAGCAATCTCTTGAGTTTTTATTTTACCACGCCAGGATCAGAAGCTTCAAAAAAGAAAATGTTGAAATTTTTGAATGCCAAACTTGAAATAAACCAGACTTAATATCAAAATGTTGAAATCCTCCTCATATATTATCGAGCTTTATTCAATTCGGAGATCTTTTTACAATATCTACAACATGATCCACACAATATACACTTGTTTTTCTATAAAGTTTTTGATTAGTCTTGAATTAGGCATTTAAAAAACTTTTATAATAATTACAAGTTATTTTTTTTGTAATCTTCACCTTTATTTTAATTTTTTAATTCTATAAAAACCATACCAAGTATAATACCATTAGGACCATTTCCTACCGGTTCTTCATCATCAAGAACATACAGTGTGTAACAAAAATAATTGGAAAATTGTTCCCGTCATTTAAAAGCATGTTTTGCATTCAAATTAAACCCAATTTGCATTGTTGTAAAAAATTAACTTCAAATTGTCTACATCTGATCAAGAAAGACAATGTCAGACTCTATTACATTTCTGGAACCAGGGTGTGAAGTCTGCCAAAGAATTTGACACTTTAACAAAAAGATTCCCCTTTCTACTACATATTTTAACATTAAAAAAATTAAGGAGACGAATAATATTTTGCATAAAGATGGTAATGGTCGGCCAAAAAAGATTACTGGGGATGTTGCACATTCAGTTGGGCAGACTATCAGAAGAGATACTTCAATTTCTGTAAGATCATTGGTAAATAAAGTAGCAGAAAAAGGAATAGAAGTATCTCACATGACTATTTCGAGACATTTATCCAATCATGGTTATAAGAAAAGCCTTACACAAGCTGCTCCTATGCTAACAATGGTTCACAAGGAGAAAAGAGTTGAATGGGCAAGGAAACACTTAAATAATGACTGGTCAAAGAGGTTATTCACTGATGAGACAGCCTTTCAATTATTCAGGAACACAGTAGAACATTGGCATAAAGGTGTGAAGCCGGTTCATCACATACCAAAAGACAGAACAAAAATTTTAGTATGGGGTGGATTTTGTGTAAATGGAAAAACGAATCTTATTTGCTTTAGTCAAATAATGGATGCGAATTTTTATGTGGATATACTTAGAAATCATATTCCAGAGGTAAATGAGATGCTGGGGGATGTTTGGCGGTTCCAACAGGACAATGATCCTAAACATACCAGTAGAATTGCCCAAGCATTTCTCAATGAAAATGTTCCTGAATTAATGGACTGGCCATCCAACAGTCCTGACCTTAACCCCTCTGGAGTATTGTTAAACGAAACGTTGAAAGAAGATGCCAAAAAATTGTGATGAATTAAAATATTTTATGAAGGAGAAATGGGATAATATTCCAAATAATGTTTTAACTAATTTAATCAACTAATGAAAGATCGTTGTGAATTGGTTATTGGAAAAAATGGTGAAAGAATACCATATTAATTTATAATAAAATGAATCTATAAATGATGGTGTTTAAAATGTGATATCACCTGTTCATTTTGGTTCTGTTGAGCATAATGGACATTCGTTTTATCACTTTGTGACAAAATCGATTGTTGATCTTTTTTATGTTGTGAAACATGTGATTTCAATTGTTTTAAAATAGAAAAAAGGCATATATGTATACAAAAAAAATATTATTAAGGTACATATTAATTTTTTTTGCACAGAAACGTTTTTTATGTTTGCCTTTACTAGTAGATTAAATAAGATCAAAAGATCATGTCTAGATCAAAAGTTAGATGAGAACTAAAGTTTGAAATAAACACTACGTGTATGTAAACATTTTATTCAAATTAAAATTTTATTTTACCAATTTTTAATTAAATCAAAAGCGTTTTTAAAGTCTAAAACTATTTTTTGTTCTTCAGTTATATTTTCCTCTACCTCCTTGTCTCCTGTTACATCAGGCTCTTTGAATTCATCATCATCATCCAACGAATCAGTCAAACTTTCTTTTTCTAGTCTTTTTATATAAGAAGATACGTTGGAAATTATACCCGCTTTATAAAATTCCAAGCAATAGGTACATTGATTATTTTTCATTTCATAGCAATTTTTATGAAATGCATGACCACATATCAGCATTAATGCACTTTGATCATAATTATTTTCAAAACCAAGGTTGCAATAATCACATCCATTAGAAGATGGTGGTTTACTGGTATGATATCCCGTTGGAATGCATTTCAAATTGATTTTTTTATTCAAGGTTGCTAAATAATATTCTTTTTTGATAATTTTTTTGCTTTTTCCCATATTTAGGTAAACTCTATGAAAATAATCAATTAAGAATAAACTTGTTTTATATTTAAGAAAATCTAATGTGGATTCTTTGTAAGGGTATTTTTTTGATTTCTTAAATACATTGATAAATGATTGATCCTGAGCTTCTAACACTAATGCTTGTAATGTTATTGCTTCAGCTGAATATTGTGGATTAGTATTGGTTCTGATTTTACTATGCCAATTTTCAACATAATAATCGTTGAAATTGACAAGAAAGGATCTTAGTGCATCACCAAATGGATGGTTATTGTCTTTCCAATAGAAATAGTCTGAAAGAAAGGCAAGTGGTATTTTATTGTAATTTTTTCGTCCCCATCTCAAAGCAAAGCTCCACAATCTAAAAATTGTATCTACATATTGTTCAAAAGAACCTGATCGAAATATAACAGCATAAATATCCAATGCAGCTGGAATTAAATTGTCCAAAAGATCTATCATTGTTTGGTATTCCATATCTTTACATACTCGACCAAATTTTTTATATATTTCTGAAGAGATTTCAATCCAGGCAGATCTAAGAAGTTCAAGAAGGTGATTTATCCTCCAGGGCTTTGGTTTTGCTGCTAATATTTTTATTAATTCCAAAGACTGATTTATACATTACTTCAAAAAAATCCCAGTGTATATGCACCACACTTTCTCTCATGTTCAATGAAACATGTAATGGACCAAGGATTGGAACAAAATTATTGATTATTTGAGGTATTTGTTGAAAATTATTATTTTGCAGATTTTGATGTTTATGAAGAAGGGTTATTGCTTTACGTATAAACAATTGACCTGGGAAATCTGCAATAATTGGTATAATATTGCTTTGTAGGTAATTATTTAAAGAAGGAATTTCAGTTATCATTTTAAGAGCATTTAAATAGTCATCCAAACTTTTTAAATTTAATTCTTTAATATTAACTAAATGACAGTCTATCATAGATCTATCATTACGAAGACTTTCTATAGCATAATTATATGAATGAATCATCAAGAGTTCTAGTCTATCAAACTGTTCAAAGGTGACTATATTATTTTTCAGCCAACTATATTTTTTTTCATTGTAACTTATGCTTAATGAGCTAAAATATTCATCATTTAAATATTTAATAATCCTATCTGCCTCAATATTTTTAGGATTATGTACTGGAATACCATCAACATATGCTGGTACAGCTTTGCTATCTTTATAGTTTTAGAAACACAAGTAGCCATGTGACAAGCTGTTGAAAGTGTTGTTGTGTTGGGTTGTCTAAAACTATAGATTCCATGGAAGTCATCTATATTGAAAGGAATTAATTTTTCTATATTTTCTTCAAAATAATTATTAATTTTTTCGTTATGTTTACTAAAAATAACCTTTTTATATCTTTCTAATGTTTTATAACATACTGAAATTCCTAGCCTTGACATTATATCAATACATTCTACTGTTGCACCGGATGCTGATAAGTAAAGTCCTATTTCTAATTGAAGTGAGTTATTTTGTTGATTTTTTAATCCAGCTAATAAATAACAGAAACCTACAAGAGATTTTTTAACATTTTCTATAACATTTTCAGACCTATTATGTGTTTGGGATGTCAAGAAAATATAAATCAATTCATCAAAGAATCCTTTTAATTTTGGCTCATTCTCTTCTATCATATTTTTGAAATCTTCTGGATCTAATTCAATATTTAAATTTAAGTTTCTTTGTCTTTTATACAAAAGAGCAGATAGCAATCCAAATTTATTACGAAATTGATTATTATTTTCATATTCATTAACTTTTATCTGCATCTCTTTTATTTTAGTTATTAGGCAATTAAAATGACTTTTAGATAACAATACCACACTATCTTGAACCTCAACATTTATATTTGACCAATTATCTAGATTTATCATATTATCATCAATTGAACTTTTTAATAATTCAGATAATTTGAATTCAATATTAATGTTATCATCTTCAATAGCAATAAGATTATCTTCAATAATATCATCATTAGCAATAAGACTATCTTCAATAATATCATCATTAGCAATAAGATTATCTTCAATAATATCATCATTAGTAATAAGATTATCTTCAATAAGATTATCATTTTCAAAATCTCTTGATTTTCTTTTTTGATTTAATGGATTTCTTTTTGACTGTACAATTAACAAGTAATGTTGAGGGCAAAGCTGATCATTAATTTGAAGGTAATTATAATCATTATATGTACTATCTCGTATAGCATTACTTAAACCATGTTCAGTAAATCTTCTAAACAAAACATCTTTTGCTTCACAATTTAAAACATTGCATGGTCCTAAATTTTTAGGCATTGATTTTATTAAGGATTTGGATTGTGGAAAAGCAGGGGTAGTTAAATGACAGCTATTTTACTAGCTAATAGTTTTTGTTGTATTATTTAATTTATAAGATATATTTTTATTGCAGGTCAAAGCCTTGAGTTATTTTCTTTATTCAAAATAACTTACAAGTAAAGCAAATTTTAGTTGTTTATATACATGTTGGTTAATTATAAAGTGATTGAATTGGTCTTGAAGGACTCAAACATTTTGAGGATGTCTTGAAAGATTAAATTGATTCAATCATCTGCACGTAATTTAATTTGAAACTATATAAAAAATTATTACATTTAAAAGTTTGTTATACTAAAATTACTAATCGCGTTTTATATGTTTTTACATGTATATATATATATATATGTGTGTGTGTGTGTGTGTGAAGTAAATTTTAAAATTTGTTGTAATGCGAATTTAATTATAATTCGTTAAATGGAAATAAAAAAATAAATAAAAATGAGCATGTGTAACATTTTAGAAATGTGATTAAAAATTTTCAAAAACCAATCAAAAAATTAGTTTTGTGTGATGATTTGAAATAAGATCGACAAAATTTGGCCAATAAAATGGCTTATTTTACAGTGTCCATTATGCTGAGCTGTATTTGAATTTACACGCTCGCAGTACTATTAAATACAGTGAATGTGAAGCACAAACAAGACCACAAATCAAAGGACACAGAAAACATATTGAATGTCAATTACTTAAAGGATGCCCAATTCAAACATGTGATGGTGTGGCTTACTATAGTCGAAAGATAATTGATTGGGGTATTCAATATAAGTTGATTAACAAATCTAATGTCATAATGTAAATACATATACACACCCTAGACAAAAGTTTTTGGACACCTGTTTTTACTGATTGCGCAAAACTACACATAATAACTATACATAAAATTTTATCAAAATGTAGCTTAGGT